TGTGCCATGCGTGATACACACTTAGGCGATCATGTATTTTTCGATACATGACTCACGAGGCAGATATTTTCCTGCAGTAGGTTGCCATTTCTTTCTACAGTAGCCCCGGTCTGTCCTGCTATTTACCCATAGCTGGAGGGAGATGATGAGGATTCATACCTTTCCTAAGGTTATTAGCACGTAATTGAATGTAATGGATTCGAACTCATCTCTATGATTCCTCAGTCCGAGTCACTATCCATTAATCAACCGTGCCTCCCTAAGTTTAACATTAATATTACTAAAGAACTACTGATAAATTGTCAGATATATTTTCGCCGAGAGTTTGGGGAAATGAATATATCACCGTGGTTAAATTTGATCTGATCTCACATTAGTTCACGATATGTAACTTCTACGGTCAACTGGGCTCTCCAGGCAAAAGCGTCGTCAATTTGAAAATCACATTTTATGAATTTTTCCTTGACAGATGATCGAATTTCTGTATCATGGTAACAAGCCGTAATTATACAGAAAATCCAGCAAGACATACTCGACTCTGAGCATAGTTTGGAATCGAGAAAAATTGTGTTATCTATTTTCAGTAATGGTCCATATTTTGATAGCACTAAAAGCTGACTCTCCTGGGTATAATGATAGACTACATCCGGCAGCAAAAAGCGTGGAATCACCTGTTAATTTCTGTTGTTCCCATGTCCACTTTATAGTAATTATAGCAGTAATACATTATGGAAAAAAATATTGCCAGTAACAAATTTGACTCTCAACAGAAACTCTTTTTACGAAAATGAGTCAATGAAGGGTCCTACAAACTCATTTCTTACAAAGAATACATATTTTATTCATATGAACATACAAACATCTCGTCGGCATAAAATAACCCATTGAACAATATGCCTTAAAACAAAATAAACCAAATCAAACCAAGCGATAGACAATAGCATATGTTCACAATATCTCTATCTATAAAAGGCAGGATGTGTGTGTGTGTGTGTGTGTGTGTGTGTGTGTGTGTGTGTGTGTGTGTGTGTGTGTGTGTACGAATGCACGGCCGCAATTTTCGACGGATTTGCTCCAAAATCTACATGCACATGCTCCAAGTTAGAGGGAACGCCAAGACCGACTTTGCATTTCCCAACTCCCATCGATTGTGGAAATAATTGTTTTTTCATGCTTCTACGGCAGTTTTCATGTAGTTTGCGGCCATTTTCTACTGGCCAGAGTGAGAGCCTATAGCTGGCTGACACAAATAGGCATGAAGATTCTACTGGCCAGCGTGAGAGCCAACAGCTGACTGACACGAATGTTAACTAGCATGCTAGCATGCAAAAAAAAGCGATAGCTGCATTCGTCACAAGTGGGAAAAAATTTAAATCTGCATGGCACTTTACTCCAATTGGTTCATTCGCTTGCTTAAACTCAACGTTGATTCTGATTCCACAGAACTGGGTTGGGTGTGTAAATGATTTGTTGTTAACATTCTTTTTTCATTCGGTTTTTCCAGTTACGAGTCCTTTTTTAAAGCTGATCATTTTGTGTTCATTTTTAGTTCTTTTTTCGTAACAGAATTAATGTTTAGTTTAGATCTTAAATAAAATTCGCAGTGCGAGATAGGCAAGAAATAAAGCATGTAGCAACATCAGAATGGCAAAGAGCACTCCTTTAAAGGCAAGGAAGGGCAAAAATATTTTAAATTAAGTGATAGCGATTGCTGTATGAGTCGTACGATTTTTGAATCAAGCAAGGGCAACGCCAGGCCATGCTGCTAGTATCAGATCAATACAAAATTTTCTGCTCGATTTTAATTTTTTTTATATATTGAATAACCGTAACTTGACACTGGTGTTTGTATTTTTGCTGACATCTGATGTGTTCTAGATTGAAACTTTTCGTTCAGTTGCGAAACAGACTTTAATGTTGATTTTTTCTTCATAATGACTGCTTTAAAGATGGAGGAATTTTCACTTCCGCCCAATCGTGCTCTGTGAATTTTGAAACGGAATAAGTTTTGGAACTACAACCAAAAAAGATTCACAAGATATATTCAGATCGTGATCCAACTCTTTTGGACGGTCCAGAAGTGTTTTGGCAGATTTCCTCAGTGAGATTTCAGTCTAAACAATCAACCACGCCCCGGGCGAACTTCCGACGTTGATGAAGACTCTCTGCTTGCTATCGTCGCGAATAAACCGAAGATCTCGACGGAAGAGATTGCTAAGAGTTTGAAAATCGATGTCTCAACTGTCTTTGGCCATTTTAATAGATTTGGGTTTAAGAAAAACGGCCGATTTTGACAAATAGAAAGGGTGTTATTTTTCACAACGACAACGGAAGACCGCGTGTTTAAAATAGCCACAGCGGAAACTGAAAGAGTTGAAATTGTTCCCCCGCCCCCGCTTTCAGCACCCACCATGATCTCCTGACTGGATACTTCGGATTGTCAATTGTTCCTGTCTTTAAATAACAAGAATAACACAAAATAACAATTTCAATATCAAAGAATTGGACACTGTACAATCTGTCAACAACTATATCATACCCTTCTTTCAACATAAAACAGGAATTTTCTCCGAAATTGTTATCAATATTCTTGAAGACCGTTGGGTGACAGTTGTTAAAAAATTGAAGACTATGAACATTTACAAAAGTATGGATAATTTTTGATTTACTTCGAGTTTCTAGATTCAAAAGTTATAAATATAAGTGATTAATATCGCAAAGTAAAGCAAAGATAAGTGTTTCGTCAGTTGAAATCGATATCTTTTTTTTTTATCGTTTCACACAAAACAAGGCGATAAATCCACGATGTAGCATGTCGTTAATGAGAGAGAAAAAGTTTGAGATTATAAACTGTATCAAGGATTGAGGATAATATACGAATATGTTTAAAAAGTCAGAAGATAACGATTGATATTGCATTCAAAGTTGACTGGAAAGCAAGAGACCAGGGTAGAGTCCCACAATCCGAGCGTAGAAACTATTAACATGGAACTTACCGTTACATTCAGCCGTTTAACTTGTAAAATAAAGAGACCCAGCTACCAATCTATTAGTACCCTTAAATTATTAACGCCGGGATACCAAAGAAGAAAGCTCACTAAAACAATTGCCATGGACCTATTTATAAAAATGGCAACCGGAACCTAGATTACGGCGATGAGCAAATAACTGACACCGAGATGCCAGGTCAGGACCGGCAATATTTTCTAACATTATATGAAACGTTATACTGAATAAAACTGAAATAGAGAATGTGGTTAACAAATACTTCAGAACAAGAATAGAGATGGGTAAATTTGAATTAAAAAAAAAGTTAAGTTATTTCTTACAAGACAGAAAATTCTAAGACCAAAAGAAGATGCTTGTAAAAACAACTTTGCGGATAATAAATCATTTAGATTAACTTTACAATAACTTTTAAGGATTAAACAAATTACGCCAAAACTAAAAAAATATAGATAAAAAAATGTGGCTAAAAACGGATTACCATTTTTTAAAATCAGTACCACCCCACGCAAGGCAATACAGCCACTAAGACGCAAAGGGTTACAGAGTGTGGAAGAATTGGGAACAGAAACATTAGTAATAAATAGAAAGAGTAATCAGGAGGACAGTAGATAGCGATTGATATTGCATTTACTTTTTTACAGATTAAAGTTTGTTGGAAAGCATGGAGCCTGGAGGGAGTTCCACAAGCGAGAAGTGCGAGAAAAGAAAATGTTAATATAGAACATTACTCAACTGTAAATTGATGAGATCCCGACACCAGTCTAGTAGTGCGCTTAAATCCATACAGCCTAAGTAAGAAAGCGTAGATCGATATTGGTTTGTAATATTACGAAAATGTGGCACAAGGCAAAAAAGGTGAATAGAGAAAAGGACGGTCTTCTTCTGGCTTAACTTTAAAATTAGCTAGCTTCAAACACTGATCCAAATATACCACAATATTCCTAACACAAAAAAAACAACGCATTCGTTCTTACCTTTCTTACTACATCCACCATAATGACTTGTTTTCTGTATGAAAATCTTAACAAGTCCCCATTTGTATAATCATTGTCTGTCGGGGGAGGGGAATAAAACAACAATTTAAAATCTAGTCCCAATGAATAGATTTGTATTCATATTGTAACAATATGAATACAAATCTATTTACAAGAAACTAAATAAAATAATATTATTAATAAAACCCCCACAAACCTTAAATGTAGCAGAAACATCAGTTAACTGGACGAAATCAATGCAGGATTTAAATAATATAAAACATTCATTTATCTCAAGCATTCACTTAAACACATTTAGACACAACAAATACGAAAATCACACCCGAACACCCCGCATCCACCAGTGAACTAACATCATTGACCACCTAACAAGAGAGAGGATAGAGAATTAAACTAAAGAAAAATAGGGATTGAAATAAAATGGGCCAATGAGCATACATCCCCTAGCTAAGTTAACTGGAAAAAAGAATCTAAATATACAAAAAAAAAAACAACCCTAAACTAACCTAAGTTCAAACCAGGAAGAACAATATCCTGATGCCTAACGGGCATCAGAGTGACACTCCAAGTGAGTCCCTTTCACGCAACACAAACGCGCAAGATTCACCCACCTTTTGCCAAATTATGATGAAGTGTGATGCCGCTTTTCCGTCCTAATCTTGACATTAAGCTGATGCTTAAAGTATAAGATCAGTTGAGAAGAAGTGAAATTCTCGCCTCCATAGAACCCCCTTCTGACGTGTCATCCAAATCACGTCTCTCATTATCCTTAGCAAGCAAAAGTGTTCAGCCTTTGTCAACGAAGGTGCCACACTGCTACAACCAAAACTGGCCTCAAGGAACCATCCGAACAATAGCTATGAAAGTATTTATAAAAAAGGTGTAGAGAGGCAATTTTACGACGGTGGGTAAGTGACAGAGACGAAGCCGCCAGATCAGGACCAATAATATCACGGATTCTTCTGTGGATCTTACTGAGGACCTCTAGAGACCCGTATGCGGGTAGATGTAGCGTCTCTTTGTATCAATATTCCTTTCTTTTATCAGTCGACTGAGTATAATCCGCTAGTGAGACACTTGTAGATATCGACAGTCATTAAGAAAAATACAATTTTTATGTATATACACTGATTTATTTTAAGCAAAATCTGTTGTTTTGTATTCAGTCAGTTATGTGACATGCCTGATACACGCTTAGGCGATCAAGTATCTTTCGATACATGATGAGTCAGAATTTTTTTCACCGAAGTTGGTTTCAGTTTCCTTCTGCGGTAAACCAGTTGCCATTCAAAACTATAGAACTGTCCTATTTACCCATAGCTGGGGGAGAAGAAGACGATTGCCAACGGTATTAGTATGTAAATGAGTGTAATAGATTCGACTGGAATTCGAACCCGGTTCTCTGATTCCTCAATCCGAGCCGCTATCCATTAGACCACCGTGCTCCTGTTTTGTATTATACTTCCCAATGTAATGTTGAATGTAAGTCACAAGAAAATAAACAGATTCAGTTTACACTATAGTAAAAAAAAAAAAAAAGAAAAGAAAAGAAAACTAGGTCCATTTTATACAGGAGTCAAATGTGAAGACATGACTTGTTTATTTTAGAGTATAAAAACAGTCATCCATAAGAGGATAAAGGTAAACATTCTTTCATTTTACACGATAGCGCTGAATATAAACATATGTTTGACTTGAACGGGAGTCAGAAATCTCCATATAGCCCCCCCCCCACTTACACTAGATTAAAACTGACGAAATGGGGCCAATTCAGATATAGGTCCTTTCTATACAATAGGCCAAAAGATACATAAAAGTTCGCTATAAACGATTGTCGAATCATAAACATGTGGTCGTTTTATCTTACAGTCAAAAGGGGAGATGAAGATCTGTTTTATACGATATTAAAAAAGGTCGGCGTTGTTCCATTTCTATATCTCTGGCTTTGTTCATGCTAAATTATCTATCTATCTATCTATCTATCTATCTATCTATCTATCTATCTATCTCGGTTTGTTCATGTTTATCTATCTGTTTATCTATCTCACTCTGTACATTATCTCTCTATCTAAACTAGTCTGTGCATGTTTTATCTATCTATCTATCTATCTATCTATCTATCTATCTATCTCGCGTTGTTCATATCTATCTATCTATCTATCTATCTATCTATCTCGCGTTGTTTCTATCTATCTATCTATCTCGCGTTGTTCATATCTATCTATCTCGCTTTGTTCATATCTATCTATCTATCTATCTATCTATCTATCTATCTATCTATCTATCTATCTATCTATCTATCTCATACCATTCGTATCTTTCTATCTATCTCTCTATCTATCTATCTGTCTCGGTTTGTTTGTCTATCTGTCGTTCGATCAATAGATTTTTCTTCGATCTTTTCATCTCAGACACTTCGTAGTGTTTCAAATATAAAACGTATAATGAATCTATTTGGTTGTCCGTTTTTAGAATCAATTTCTATTTCTGAATTTATTTATTTAAACAGTGTTTAAATCAGTGAAAATAGGGACCCTGAAGATGTATACATTTCCGCCATCGGCTGCCAAAATTGTTTACCCTTTTCGATATAATTCTAATGTTTGAATGCTAAGAAGCATTTGAATGCAGTTACGCATCTCCTTTGTTTTTTTTTTTTTTTTTTTTGTTTTTTTTTTTTTTTAACGGCATATCAACTTTTATTTAATGCCGACAAGATTTTTATTGCTGGTAATACTTTTTCAAAAATGTATTGCTTGTATTAAACTTATTTTTATACTTCCGTAGTGTTTTGACCCCGTTTGTGGGGGTTAATTAATTGCCCACATCTGGGACGCTGACAGGTGGTACCACCACGAGTCAGAGTGGACCTGGTAACACCAGCAATTAAGAGTTGGTTCTTTGCTCCTCAAAACCTCCTGTTCAAAAGCATTGCTGTCAGATGTAGTTTATCGTCTCACCCAGGACGCGGATGTAGTTTATTGTCATACCCAAGACGCAGATATATTTTATCGTCATACCCAGGACGCGGATATAGTTTATCGTCATACTCAGGACGCAGATGTAGTTCATCGTCATACCCAGGATGCGGATGTACTTTATCGTCTTACCCAAGACGCGGATGTATTTTCCGTCTTACCCAGGACGCAGATGTAGTTTATTGTCATACCCAAGACGCAGATATATCTTATCGACATACCCAGGACGCGGATGTAGTTAATCGTCTTACCTAAGACGCGGATGTTGTTTGTCGTCATACCTAGGACGGAAAGGTATTTTGGCATAAAACAAATTCTGAAGATGTGTGAAAAGTTATAGACAATGGTGTAAGAATTATGGCAATATGGAGGATATGGAAAAATCTTTCATCCAAAGTTGGTTAACTCATCTCTTCTTTGTTCATGTTCAACTTGAGTTATACATAGTTTTTAAACTAAATTCTGAAACAGACTGGTCTAGAATTAATAATGACGACACTTGAATCAATCAGAATGAGTAAAATATATTTCTGTGAAACTAATATAACATGATAGAAGAAAATTGAAACAATTTATTCTAAAATCGTACATTATTTTTTCGAACAACCGAATATATTTTTTAAATTTTAAGCAAATTACGAAATAATAATTTTTTTTTATATTTAAATTGTAATAGATTTTAAGTACTTCAATGCGAATAGGTAACTAATATATATTGGTAAGTTCTAAAAATAACCAATATTTTAATAAAAATTTCGAATAATATGCTATCTTACGCTCACATATTTGTTATTAATTAAATATTTCTGTTATTATCCCTAATTACATGTGAAAGTAAATTCATATTTAAATAATTAATTTTCTAGATTTCCTCTTTATTTCTTTTTAAATTTGTCGTTTCCTGTAAAACATTAAAAACGTGGTAGATATTAAATAATCGTACGAATAAAATAAATTAAATTTCGACATATGTCTAAATTTCCAAAATTGTAATGATAGTCATTAATAACTCGAAGTAAAAGAAATATTATTTATTATTCGGAATCGATTTTACCGATTTTGAAAAGATTTCACGATACCAAGCGATAAAAAAGACAACGAATTACTTCATGTATATCTGCTTTAATGTCAGTAAATATCCGATTGAACCATAAACAATTTCTCTTTTAGTGAACCACTCGTGGAACTGCTAGGTAACGTTGATATCTTTGAAAAGAGTGTTAGAATAACCCAGAACATATATTGGTAGCACGCCACCTGGGTAGGCATAGAAATTTAATTCAGTCATGTGTACCAGCTCGAGCATCGGGATCGCCATCTTCTCCTTTTATTCCCGTTACGTCCCACCCTCACTGATGGCGATGTCGGAGACGCTGTGAAGGCATAGCCTACTCTTGAATAATTGTGATCAGGTGTCACAGAGAAAGGGTGTAAGACAAGAATGTGTCTTATCACCGGGATTATTCAACCTATAAAGCGAAGCGAGACTGAGTGAATTGGAAGTCCTATGAAGATTCGTTATTGATTATTTCGAAGTGTTCTGCTTGAATGTAGGTAAATATCCGATTGAAAAATAAGCAATTTCTCTTTTAGGAAGCTATTCGTGAAACTGCTAGATAACCTTGATATATTTTGGAAGAATGTTAGAATAACTCAGAACCTATTCTGGTAGGAAACCACCTGAGTACGTATAGAAAATAAATTCAGTCATGGGTACCCCCTGGAGTATCGGGATTGTCATCTTGTCTCCTTATTTCCTTTACACCGCACCCTCAATAGTGGTGATGACGGAGACAGCTATGAAGCTCTAGCCTACTCTTGAAGTGTTGTGATCAAGAGTCACAGAAAAAGTGTGTAAGGCAAGAATGTCTTCTTACCGGGATTATTCAACATATACAGCAAGACGAGTCTGAGAGAATTATAAGTTCTACCAAGATTCTTAACAACATAACATATGCAGATAACAGTGTTGACAATAGACACAGAAAGACAAAAAGAAGGGAAGGTAATGAAAGAAAGCGGGAAGAAAGGACTAAACATCAATTGAAAGAAGAAAGAATCTATGATTGTTAGTGAAACGAATAGCCCTACATGTAATTTGGGCTTCCTAACGATCAACAAAGATAAGCAACGTCGAGCCTGGCCAGTGCCTAAATGTGTAACGGCTTGAGAATGCCAAGTGCTGTAAGATCGGATGTACGGATGGTGTAATGTATAACGAGACGGAATTATTAATTGGAGAGCCAAGTTCCTATTCCAGGTGGGTTGGTTGTTCGTTATATTCTCTTACGCACAATATATATATATATATATATATATATATATATATGAAAAAAAATATACGGAAAAAACAAACAAAAATCCTAATATGCTGTTTTAATGTTAATATAATGTCAACGTCGGACATTATGTTTTTTTTGTTTGCTTTTTCAGTATATTTTTCTTCATACTGTCGGATTACATATATATATATATATATATATATATATATATATATATACAATTGTCCCTTTTCTTATTGATTTCAATTCTCCTTTCTTCAGTTCTTTTACATTGTTTCTTTTATCTTTCATTCGTTAGTTTTCTTCTTTTCATACTTGTCTACACAGGAGAATAGAGAAGACATGGTAGTCCAGAACCATTTGTGCCTAAAGATCATTTCCTGTATCTTAATACATTGCTTCGTTTCGCGAAGGCATCTTCCGCAATTACGATGCGCCCTTGCATTTCTGGAGATTACACTATAATTGTTTCTTTTTTCAATACTAAATGAAAGAATAACATCAACAGACATTGAACGATCAACCAAAGTATCCAAAGTGAACAATGATTTTAAAAGGACTTGTTTTTTACTTATTTTAATCAGTATCACCCCATGCAAGGCAGTAAAGCCACTAAGACGCAAGGGGTTAAAGGGTGGAGAAGAATTAGTAACAAAAACATTAATGAGCGAGGAAAGAAAAAGTAACTGAGAGGATAGGAGATATCGTTTGATATTTAAATATTTTTCGTGTTAAAGTTTCCTGGAAAACATGTAGCCGGAATTGAGTTCCACAAGCGAGAAGTCCGAGAAAAGAAACTTATAAATTAGGTCAACTTTTAGTCAGCTCAACAGTAAATTGATGAGATTTCGACGCAAGTTTAGTATTGCGCTTAAAGTCATTAATTCTAGGTACTGTAAAGAAGCGCTCATCCGAACAATTTTCATGAAATTATTTGTAAAAAAAAAAAAAAATAACAGAGAGACAACTTTACGGCGATGTGGAAGTGACAGAAGCTGAGGTGCCAGTTTAATACCGATAATATTGCTGATTCTTCTTTGTTTTTTATCAAGGAGCTCTAGATAAACAGCAGGACCCTGGACCATATAAAGAAGCAATATTCAAAGCATGAACGAATGGTTGACTTATAGTTATGTAATATAGATTCTGGAGAGAAAAATTGACTCACACGAAACAGTGAACTAATTCTGCTGAACTAGGATTGAATTCAACATAGTCTTTAAGCTTCATGTTAGCTGAGAACGTGCAACGAGTCACTTTCTTGGAGGTTAGCATCAGACAGGCTGATGGCAGGCAGAGAAATGTAACTCAGATGATTAATGGAGAGAAGTTTAGTTTTGGAAGTTTAGACTATCAGAAAAATATGTCATCCTTCCCCGTAAAGAATATGTCATCCTTCCCCGTTTGAAGAGCTTGGAAAACCCGCAGCGTAATTTTAATTACGCGAAGGACAAGGGAGCTTGGAGATAGCTGATATGAGACATTTTCTAAGTTGCTGAAGATGGAAAATGACATTGATTTGCAATGGCTTCAAGTCAAAAAAGTTCTTATCATTATAATGAGTAAGTCTTGTTGGGTGGAATGGCTACAAAAATGCCCCTCAACAAATTTATAAACTAATCATACAGATGCATGCTGGGATTTCTTGCTATCCAATTTTCATCCGCCATATTCTTGTTCGTTCTTGCCTTGAATTTAGAACGCTACGATCATTTCTCTGTATCCCTTTTATGTGTTAACACCATTCTTCCGTTGTCTTGTTCTCCTGATCAACACAACCGGAAATCGTGTTTATATTATATTTTTGTGCTTCCGTTTTTGTCTGTGATATCAGATTTGGTATTTTATATCGTGCAGTACATGCCAGCCATATGAGTTTTATTTTTATGCTGTTTTGTTTTATGCTCTGAGACAAAACTGAATGATGACAGTGACAATGCGATGGTCTGGGCCCACTGTAATGAAGGTATGGAAAGGTTCACAATTTATCGCACTGCCGATTCATTTTTTTATTGATGAGAATCAAATCACTTTGAGATCTAGCACTGTTTGCCTATCGATTTCTTTTCCTTTTTTTCCTTCTGAAATTTTGG